TTCACATGCCATTTAATCGCACCACTCCGGCTCCTGACCTTTGCTACTTGTCATCTCTCGCTAGTTCCCTTTCACAATGCAACAAAGACAAAAATGCAGAACGTGGAAAAAACTGAAACCCGGTTACACAAAGAGTTTTTATTTTAGAGCCGATTGAATCCAAATGACTCACAGATTGACTCATATACCATTCACTGCCTCCGCTGCTGCAAATGTAAGACAGAGTCAAATGAAGTTACTCAAAAGGACCTGTAGACATTTTCAATAGCTAGCCAAAACCTGATTATTTACACAACTTTAAACACAGACATTTAAGCCTAAATCCATCAACCCTTATTTGATCCATTATTGATACCTGCAGTATCAGTTAAACTATAAAATGACTAAACTTTGGTGTCCCGGGAAAAGCAAGTCTTATCATAGTTCTTTCTTTGCATAGACCTCCAACAGACTTCCAACAACAGAATGAGCTACTCCTTAGGTTAGCAAGTAAGCGCTTGTAACTTAGTAAACTGGCATCATCTGCCAGAAATATGCAGGTCACGTTATTTAATCTCAAAGCATCAATTTCCCTTAATTCAACCTCACTGAACTTCTAGCACGGTTCTTTTGTTTTACTCTGACTCACAGGCAGTGCTTTGGTGCTTTGCTCTACCACAAACAGAAACAAAGCACCTACTGACACACATGCAAGAAAATACTGGAAATGAAGCATTTTGTCATCTGCCTCAACCAGTCATGCCAGATGGCTGCATTGAACCCAATTCTGACATTATTTCCTGTTAGAAGGGAGTTTTTCCTTCCCACTGTCGCCAAGTGCTTGATCATCTGATTTGGGGGATTTTCTGTGTATTACTTTAGAGTCTGTACTTTACAATATAAAGCGCCTTTAGGCGACTGCTGTTGTGATTTGCTATAAAAATACAACTGAACCGAAGTGAATCGAATCAGGTCTCACCAGCAATCAGATGTCTTGAAATCATTCAGCAGTTATTTTTGGTTTGTACTGAGAAATTATCTGAATTAACTCTAATTTAAGCAGTCAGTAGGGCATCTGCATCAAAATCCTTAAAAGGTTTCCTGACTTTCTTACAATTTTTTTTACCTATTATTTATATTTCTACTATTTTATTTGCTACTGAGGAATTATTCTATAGATTTCAATTTTGAATTCTTTGAGAGTCTTTTGCTTATAATGTATTAAAACACACACACACACACACACACAAACACACACAGCTAACAAGAGCTCAGCTGGACATTTTGACTAAAGCAACTGAACAAATAAAACTTCCTGTTGCAGCACGAAGTTTAACCCCACTGTGAGCAACAGCTTTCTGCTCAATTACCTTTACTTGTTTGAAAACACAATCAAAATGTTTCAAAAGGGCTTTAAGTTAAAAGTGTTTTTAGAGAACAATGACTTTAGATTTCTCCAGGGACCTTAGTAATTAGGAGGTAAGAGGTATGCCTGCCCAGGTGGATTTCACTGTTGACTCGATTGCATGGTGAAATTCCCAGTAGGCGTTTGCTGTTTGGCTCCCAGCATGTGCTGATTTCAATACAATATCTGTAAAAACCGCTTCTTTGAAACGTATACGTATGCCTGCTTCACCTCAATTGGTTCCAGACCAGACTGTTTGACATTTGCCTGTCTGTTAAATCAGTGCACATACTTTGTAGTGAAGCACTTCTGTTATTAGCAAAGGAGGTGGATGATTCGGGCTCTTATTCGTAAAGGTCACCCCCTCAGGCAATCAGACATGATTTGTGTTTGAGTGCATAGATGTGTGCATCTGTGCAGGAGACTGTCTTTACTTTAATAATAGAGTTTTTGTTACACTCGAGATGACAGCTTACAAAAACACGGCTACAATTTAGTATTTTATTGATAAGCATAATGTCACCCCTCACCATGCAAAGACATCCATCTGTACATTGTCTTTACCAGTTATCCAGTTCAGGGTCGGGAAGAGACTCAAGTCTATCTAATGCTAACGATTGCACCACCATGCCAACCCTGTGCAGTAGAGTTTAACAACAGAGGGTTATATTTTACCTTCATCACCCGAAGCAAAATTTAAGACATTGCTTATATTGGCTCTATAAGCAAATATCTTCATCTGCAAAATGCTGGTTGCTTTCTTGGTTTTTATTTGTAGACTCTTGTAGTCCATGTTGTATTGCCCAATCAGATTTCAGCAGGTCTGATTAGTATTTAAACAAGGGGAAGCAGAACAGTGCTTCTGGATCAGAGTATCTGCTGGCCACACTGGCAGCAGATTGTGCATATAGCATGATGGCAAGCTTAAAATGCAAGCTGGTTATATTTAGCACACATACAATGACAATGGACTCCAGGGTGTTGGTATAAGTCAGCAGGAGCAATCTCATCGTGAGCATTTTCAAACGTCCAACTTCATAAGCAGACGCAGATTGTGTTTCAAACCTGAATAATCCTAAATACACGATGTAGTGCATTTTAATTGGCTTTTGAAGTCAGATAATTTAAAATAATCATGATAAGGGGTAACTTTACAAACACAGATGCACTGAGAGTTCATGCCATTTGGTGTTTTTATGTTTTTCTGCCTTTCTTATCTCAGTGTGAATGGAGAAGTAGGACATAATTAGAGGGTACAATGAGAGCTTCCTCGCTGCAGAGTTTCTTCTTTGTTTAATCTTTAACATTTTAATTTTTTATTATTTTTTAATGAAGGATCCGTCTATATATTTAATAATGGAGTATTTTTGCAAGGTTATGAAAACAGGCATATTAGGCCTTGAACACTCAGTGATCTGTCTGTTCTTGAAATTCTACTTCTCTGAACCATCAGGACCATATGTCCCACCCAGATCTGTACTGTACACACTAGCAACAAAGGCTGCACAATGTGACTGTTTATCGTGTGGGTTTAAGTGCACAGCCCCTGTTATGTAATCACTGATAATCCACTGTTACCACAGTAATGCTGCTCACATCTGGTGTGGAGATTGCACTGCACTGTGACAGCATCAAAGCGTCTTTCCCACTTCACTGTCATTCCTCGAGTTCTCTTTATAATGGATCAGTGTTGTTAGTAGCTTCTGTTTATCACACCGTCACAGGACGTTATCTGTGCCACAATGTTCTTGGTTCTTTTCAGATATTTCTTAGCAGCATTACTGTGCAGGCTGGCAAACAAGCATATAGTATGGAACAAGCTCTACAAAGCTTTGACTTAAAGCTTAAAAAAAGGCATTCTATATGTCATGTTTCACGTTTTGCACTGGTATTGGGAGGGGGTGGAATTTGCAGGAATAAGCGTGGATGCGCCATTAGCGTGGATGAACACGAGGACAAAGAACTTAAAAGGGGAGGGTGTTTATGGAGGGATACACCACAAACCAAGCATCTATGTTACTGGTTAAAGCAGAAAGGATGGAGCCAGTGGTGACTCAGGATCATGGGTTCAGCATTTGTAGTCTGAAAGAGGAACTGGATTTGAGTTGGGGTTGTAAAATGGGATAAACTGGCGTGTACGCACCGTTACAGGAGAAAGCGTGTAGGGCGTGATCTCTGTCATCAGAGCCATCGTTGGTGTCAGGAGATGTACGAAGGATCGCCAAAGCCACACACATTTGCACTATTGCAACCATGCTCGGCTTGGATTACAGGATTGGCTGGTGTTTTAAGGTTTAGATACCATTAATCCCTCTTATCCACTTGCTGCACCTTAAACTGACGCAAAAAGATAAGCAGTATAGCAAGCAGTTAATATTTACTGGTGGTTATCCCTTCTTTAAACATCAAGCAACAGAAAAGCTACAACAACCAACAACACTTATGTGTGTACAGCGAATTACGCTCTACACCTCCAGTCATTCAGCATCATGTTTTTAAGGCAGTAAACAGCAGTTTTGACTAAACATTTGAATGCCACGTACCGTGATTGACATTTCTATTGCATTGCACTGTATTATACTCTGCTCAGGGTTTTTTTGCATCTGTTATCTGCTCCCACACAGGAAAAAAACCCTGAATGGATGGCTTTGTTACACATTTATACGACTCTGACATTTGGTTAAAAAGTGAAAGGTGAAGAGCTGCTCCTCTGGTCAAGATGTTGAGTAAAAGCCCCATCACATCTAAATTTTGCTGAAAAGGGGAAAGAAACCCTTCCTCTTCAAGACCTCTGCAAACTCCTCGGGGGATCGGCGTATTTTAACCCAGATCCTTCTCGCTGTGATGCAACATTGCTTATTATTATTAGCACCTTACTGCCTTGATGTTGCACAAATAAGCGACACACAATGATGACTAAGCTTTTAAAAATAAAATCTACATCTACGTGTGTTTTTATAATGGGGAAAATGTTCTGTCCAGTAAGACGAGTTTGTTTACCCATTGTTGTGCAGCTATCTGATCACAACTGTTTCATAACCAACGAGATTTCAATCAAAAGAGCCAAAAATAATACAACGGAACAAAAGGATTTACATGTTTACATATTTGAGATGCCTTTCCAGTGTGTCATGGTCCCCCTTGTCCTCCAGGTGGAGACTTGGCTTGTGCTCTCTGTCCTCTACCTGTATGAATGTGGGCGTGGCTATGACTAACCAGTCTCTTACAGTGTCAGCGTGGTCTTCTGATTTCTAGAAAGCACAACTTTTCAGTGCAGCACCACCACTACTTGCTGGACTGTTGTCTGATGTGTGGTAGTGTAGCTTTTACATATCCGGGATATGGAGACCTGAACACAAAACACACAACCCCAGGTCTGAAGCACAAACGGAAGCCTAGGTATTTATATACTTGCTCTCTACGTCACACCACACTTAGTTGGTTTCCCTTTCTAGCTGCAAAAGCATGTAATTTCCCGTCAGCCTGCAGCCTAGTTTTACACTGAAGTCTGGGCCTCTCTTATATAAACCAATATAATCAGCATATAAGCATTTAAGATTATATATTTATTACCTAACACTGCTTTACATACCTTATATGAATCCTTACTACTCACCTGGCCTGAAACTCTGGGCAGCGGAGGTCCGCCCTGCAGAAAGAGAGGAGCAGCTGTGTTTCCTGCTGGATCCTGTTGTGACGTTCATTGTTACTGCTCATTTTGAAAATTCTGTTCATTAAAACTGATAAACTTGTCAGCTGTTTCCTACATCTGAATACTTTAGTGAAACCTTGACACAGTTACCTGAAGGGCCGCTTGACTGTGCCTGGCTGACAGGATGACTGCTTGGTGTTTTTTTGGGGGGGATACCATCTTATTTGATAACAAAATAAGATGATATGTCACATAAAACTAATTCCTACAACTATTAAAAAATATCTGAGATGTAGCCAAAGCTATGAAAGCATGATATTTATCATCTAGACTCACAATGTGCCTCAGGACTGTTTCATCAATCACATGTTTATGCCCACGATTCATAAACTCCTTAAATGATGTGTTTTATCTCCTTTAGCATGCCTACGATGCTCCAACACCTGAGTAACAAATCACAGTCTGCAGACCTGTTTCATAAATCTTGCTTTTCACCGTCTTGGATTAAACTGAACATGCATCGTTTGACATTAATCGCTGACACAAATTGTCTGTGTGTTGGACCAAAGAGCTAAATCGATGGGCTGAACATTCAACAACAGAAAGAACTAAAAGTCGGGCTCTTAATCACATTAGCTAGATGCACAAACACACGCCCTGTTAGCTTTTTTTCCTTCTTCTGTGGGTGGAAGAAATCTTAAAATTAAATAAGATAATGGCAAAGAAGATCATTATTAGATTATTCCTACGCACAAAACCCTGTTCCCTGCACACCAGTTTACAGCAGTACCAGCAATTTCCCCACTCCATCATGTGTGCCCCATTTGCATTTGCAGGCATCTACACCAGATCCTCTATCCCACTTTGAATTGCATTAACCTACAGTGTGTGAATGTGCCAGCGTTAGCTTATCTCTTAAAAGATAATGCTGTGCTCTCGGGAGAATGCTCTGCTATCGTTGGATTGCGAGAATTGATCTTCCCGTCATAGCGGGCAGGAAATCCATCCGCTGCTGTCAAAGCAATATTACAATGAAGGCATACAGTGTGTATTTCCTCAAGATCTTGGGTGACTGCGGAGCTCAAACACAATTACCAGTCAATGTTTGGAAGAAAAGCAGCAAGATTTAATGAAGCAGGTGTTTTGAAAGGCCCGCACTGGCATTTCTAAGGAGGGTTGTTGACAGTGATTGTGTGGGCAAGCTGCTTCTGTTAGCAGAGAGGGATTAGCTGTAGCTTATTAGGATTTTTATGTGATGAAGATGGAATACGTATGATTTTTACAGACAAAAATAGAATATAGTCATGCACTTTTGTTGCAGTATATGATTTATGGATCATTTATGGAAACTCAGTGCTTCTGGGACTTCTTGTTAACTACTATAGCTCCACAGTTTTAAGGCTTTGTTTGAGTCATTTGCCACGAGTTGTTTTGTTGATCTGCTGGGGATTTTGAGCAATTACATTTTACAGACTTTATCTGAAGTGGTGAAGCGGTGTCTCCCTGTCAGCACCCTTATGTTTTAAATCCTATTACAAACCATTTTTCTGTTTTTTGGCATGCTATTAGATATCATACTTATTATGTCTCATATGATGCAATAAAATGCTGCACAAAAAATTTTAATTTGCAGACATGACATGCAAAATCTGCTTTGAGTTGTGAACAAAAAACTTACTGCAACGGGCATATAAAACTCCAGAACATTAGCTGATTCCCGTTCAAGATCATCTGCCAAGAAGGGCAAGTAAGGAAGCTAAATTGTGTTGGTGTGGCCCAAAAACTCCTGTTTTCAAATGAGCGGTTGTTTTGCTCGGTGAGATGGTGAGATGACAGAGGTTTCTTCCCGTTAACAGGAAGTTTTTCCTTCCCACCGTCACCAAGTGCTTGCTCATCACGGGTCATCTGATTTTTGGGGTTTACTCTAGGGTCTTTACCTTACAAAATAAAGCACCTTGAGGTAACTGTTGCTGTGACTTGGTGCTATATAAAAAATGCAATTAAACTGACATGAATTGAATTGAATCATGAGAGCTAAAGTTTAAATGCAATGCCTTCCTTCCAGCCAAAATGTCACACAAACTTTAAGCGAATCCATAATACTCGGAGTTTGTATGAATTTCTCTGACAGGTCTCAGACAACAAGAAAGCGATATTACAAAGAATGTCACTTACGACAGTTTATGCTGACATTACTTTGTTGAATTAAAACTAAACATCAAGTTATGTCTCAAAGTAACAGGCTATATATCACCAAGATTCAGATTTGTCACACAGTATTTAGGAATCCTTTTACATTCAACAAGATTGAGAGCTAAGCTAAGGAAAACTCTTCTATTTTGTGTCATTCTCTTTTTCTGAAGCCCGCAGGCTGTTGTCTCCCGTCCTGACAAGGGTGACAAGATGAGTATCAACCCAAGTGAGAAAAATGTCTCTCTTGCCCCATTTTCGTGTCATTCAAACTCTTGAGAGAGTCTCTTATGTCACTTAACTATGTTGGATGGTGTCATTCTGACAGCAAAAACTTTCACAAAGATGTTGAAGGATCTCTGGTTTCTTTTCATGCTCTCACCCCGTAGTGCGTCATAACAAATATTGGATATGGTTACATTTTTGAGCACACTGTGGAATTAGATGTTATCTCAAGTAATGAGGTGAAATGCACATTATCCACCGTGAATCTTGATTTTCTGTTTCAAGGCTAAGCACTCCAGTTATTGTTGAAATGTTTGAATGCAGACACAAAAAGGGGGCTGAAAAAGTCAGGGTTCATCCACAGGCACACAAACATGTGCAGCTTAAGTTTTTTATAAAAAAAAATAAAGAAAGAAACACTTTAATAGTTCAAAAAGTTCAAAGTTGGCGTTACACTCTTGTTTTTCATGCTCTGCACAAATTGCAGCTCTTCCAGACTCCTCTATAATCTTTTAACCTCTCCTTTTTCTTCCTGCACTCAAACACAGGAAGCTCCACTTTGTCAGCCGTCCATGTTCAGGAGAACTTAGCAAAGATTGATGGGTGAACAAGTTGACAAGGAATGAAGCTCTGGATATGATCAGAGGAAGGGAAACTCAAGATGAATCGTTGCCACTGAGAGGTGAAAAGCCACAGGAAGTCTTCACCTCATCCCTCTCTCGGGGAAGACGATGACCGTATGAGTTTTTCTAAAAGCCTAAGAAAGAGATGAAGCCCAAAAATGCACCCATGCCAAACATTTCTTTTTTTTTTCTGTAAAATCTCCATCACGCTAAAATACAAAAGCAGATAATTACTTCTATGCCTACTGTGTTTGCAAGCAGAAAGTTTCAGACACTGTGCATGATTTCAGTTTGTTTTTTGAATGCATTGTTTATTACAGCATGAGCATAATTTCACCAAGACATTCTTTTCACATATGTCTTTGTTACACAGTAAACAGAAAGCAATCTGTCTCTTTTGTCTGCTTGTAGTGAAACTGCTTTCAAGAGCACAAGATCCTCCTAATACACAACTTTATATCCTTCTGCTGAGGGATTCTATTCTTTGTACAGGCTGAAGATCTTGGCTCTGTGTGAGTATAAAATCAGCGAATCTGGAGACAATATGGCCAGGAGAGTCATGCAAAGTAAAAAAGATTTTGCTTGTTGACGAGCAATTGATAAACTGCATTCTGGTTCTCTTTACCACCTACACTTAGATCCAAGCAGGAATCCTGTGACTACCACCTGTGGCCACAGAAGCTGCTATTGCTCCTGGTCAGAAAAAGCTGCATGTGTTGCTTGACATCAGCGTCCATGTGCACGAGCTTGAAAACAATGATGTCAGCCACCATCTGTTCTGCCATTAAAGGACAGCGTGCATATGCTGCTCCATCACACCGAGAAAAGAAACTCTGGTGTGAAGCAGCAGATCTCATCTCAGCACAAAATCAAAGTGAGTGTACTCAGAGAGCTAGGAGATGGAACAGGCCATCAATGACCCCATAGGATGAAAGATGCTGCACTTGACAAGCTCGCAAACAAAGAGCATCGCAACACGCTGCTGGAATTGTTCCTTATTCTTACTTTTCAGTCAGTCTACCGACACATCCGGCATCAGTATAGAGAATATTTGAATGTGATCATGGCTAGAGGTACACTGCAGGAAATGCTTAGTGAGAAATGGACAAATCACTTCTTTCTTTATTTTTTTATTCCAAAATATGCAGAAGCCAGACTGACCCTCAGGCTATGGTGTCACTCAAGGCCAGATGTGGACCACATGTCAGCTGTACTCTTTGGCAAAGGGCAACACTGAATATGGGTGCGAACTGGTCAGTTACTCAAGAAAAGTAATATATCGCACATTACTCATTACTTTTCCTTAAAATCATGCCATGGATGGATGGGATGGAAATTGATAAGTATTTAGCAATTCTGATTCCATTATCGATATCACCTATTGATTCCTTATTGATTCATATTGGATTCTCATTGGCTCCTCATTGAGTCACCACCATCGCTAAGCGCCATATCAAAGACATTACATTCATGCAAATTAATCGTATGCGGTGGGTCAAATGTTTGTGCATGTTGGGAGTATTTCCCTTCTTCGTTCTGATCAGTTTTGTGATCATTACTCAAAAAGAAGTCATTTTTATACATACTGCACTGAACACTTTTCTTAAAAGTAATGAAATACATAATTACTCGCAGGAGAAAGTAATTTGTTATACTACTTGTTACTTTACTTTTGCATTTCTCCATAAAATGATACGAAACACATTGTCTCATAATTATCATTTAACGATATAAACCTACATGATACAGTTTCACACACCAACACAAATACCTATTGAGGACACATATATCATCTTTCTCTTAGTATTTTGTAATGAACAAAAAGCCGACAACACAAATATGAAAGATGAAAATCAGCACAAAGAGACTTTAGTGCAATCGCCATGGTGATTCTACTATAGAAACATAAACAGGTAGAAACTGAGGCTGCAGCCTGACTGCCCATCAGTTTGTTGCCTAAATTCAGGGTCTGGCTGCTGGGCTGGGTCGGCATTCACTCAGCTTTAACTTCACTCTGGGTTCTTTAC